GGCTGCAGCCATTCTCCACTTTGGTTTGTTTGTTAAAGCTGCACACAGCAATATTCCAGCTATATGATGGCGGTCTGTAAATAATGGTGTCTGGACCAGACAATCCAGTGATCAACAACATGAGCATCAATCTACCCAACTGGGATACGATGACAAGTGTCAACCAAGTCAGCAAGCCTGACCAGCCAATCCCGTTTGTAGCCTCTTACAACAAGCATGGGTTACTGAAGACCAATTCTATGGATAAGGTTAAAAGAGTTAAACAGCAAATGTCCAACTCTGCATTTCCTTTAGAACAGAACACACATTTCTGAACTGCATCCTCCATCTGAAGCTCATCCAGTTCAAAAACAATTTCTGGACATGACTAATACTCAGTTAGAAAAAGCAGAACATATAATAAGGTCTGATGACCCAGGGAAAAGAAAAACTTTATCAGCCCATAACATGTACATACTTTCTATGAACAAACATCAAGCAGGATCATTCTGGAAGCAATGAGATCACCAAGTGACAGAAATATGCTTCAGTGACCTTGATAAGCACCGTGCAAGGAAGGAAAACTTTAATGGTCAAATATGTGTACATCCTTCTATGAACATGATGCAGGGCAATAAAAAATTCAGAAAAGGTGTTCTAAGTTGGACACCTTGTTCTTCCACACTGTGAATATAAATGCTTAAACCACAAGCAAATCATCAACATTTCTGAAACGATCCCCAAATGGTACCTCGCTACAATTCAGCCTGCTTCACATCGTTACATAGTGCCCAAGGTCCCACGGACAAATCTGTATTCACCGTAATGAGGATTGATAGAGCCAGGAGGACTGATAGTGAACAAGCGGAATTCAACTGTCGATAAAACTTCTTTTTTAATTATAGCAATTTAAGAAAAAATAGACCTAAACTACACTGCTGTTTCCTGTACAAGATTTGTAATGTATGCAAGAAAGTTTGGATCATCATGCCCATTTTCTGTCTTTGTAGGGAGCTCTTACAATGATTATTTACTAAACCAGGTCTTCAAGTTCACATATACAAGCAATTTACAATATAGAACAAACTTTATGGATAACAACTCCTTATATTCGTGAGTGCGACGTTTCGATACAGATTCTTGTCCTGCTTGACAACAGTACAAGAATCTGTATCGAAACGTCGCACTCCCGAAATAAAAGAAGTTGTTATCCATATAGTTTGTTCTATATTGTACTTCCCAACTTCTAAAATGCCACTCAAAGAAGTCATGGGAGCAATTACGGTGTTATACCATGGCAAATTTATTTTAATGATGTTTAAATAGTGCTACAAAGGCAGAAAACAAGATTTGAATGTTATGTCAATGACAGCTGCTATTAGCTACCAATTTATGCAAATTAATAAATGCAGCCATTGTATTTAACAAACATGACTAAAAAAATTCCTTCAGGCCACAGGCCTTCTGATGGACGTGGATACCGGTACTTGATTAAGACAGATGGTGAATGTTTGACATTTCACCCACACGAATATTGCTGAATATATCTTCCACTTGGACTAACACACTTCACATTTCACTAAAATTACTGCAGCAAAAAGTTTAATGCCACAATTGTGAAACGACGAAAACAACATTTGCATAATCAAGGCCATGTTTTAAAGGAATTCAATTGAATTGTGCATGCAAATACCTTTAAGTATGGATAAAAGACTGTGGCTCAAGTTTACAAAAAGTATTTAGGTTGATGTTCAATTTCTAGCCTTTCCTTTTGATATTGGAAAACTATTTCTTGACAATATGAACAGAAAAGTTTTTCATTTATTGTTTCTTATAATCAATGGGTTTATAAAAGATTTGGATAATTTCTAGTGTTGACCAAGCAAAGGCTTTTGATGGTGCATTAGCTCCATAAATGTCTGAATTGTGCTGGCATATGAGCTGATTTGGTGAATGGTCAACTACAAAGGCTATTACCATTACAACCTTGATCAATAAAGGCTTAACTGTTACTTTCCTTGCTACTGCAGACCTAATCTCAAGACATATCTACTAGTTTCAACAATGTGCCCTTGGTAGGCTAAATGGCCAAAACCATTTTGTCGCAATATTGAGAATGTCCTCATTAACTTAATTTCAGAGAGGCTTCAGCGTGGTATTCAATGCATTAGTGTAAAACTAATCACAGAAGCTTTTAAGAATTTACTGTCCTTGCAATTGATGAAAAACAACTTGAAAAATACACAATGCTGAGATTAATAAATGTTAAGAATTTACTATATATAGCCATTACACTTTGGGAATTCTGTCCAGCTTAAGGTAGAAAATAAGAACGCCTACATATCCTTGCAAACCTCACAAGAGTCATTAGGAGATGACATGTTCTGTTCGGTCTGTTGTAATTAGGAAATAGAGTTTGGCTTCTTATACCTACTTTGGTTCATTGTCATTGGATACCAGAGTTTAGTAAAGAAAAGGTTATGCTGTTTAGCAGTTTTCAATGTCCCAAATCATCCAAAGGCACCACTCAAATGTGTCTTCATGAAGACACAAAAACATCAAAAGAAAAATCCCAAATCATCAAAAGGCACCAGTTTGTTTATCACTAGAATGATCTTTGCAGCAAGTTTTACCAAGAATCATTCAATGGTTTGGAAGTTACGCCTTGGCAACAAGCTCTGCCCCATTTTCAGTAAAATAACTTGTCATGAAAACAAATAAAAATGAGAATGTCTAATCATCAAAAGGCAGCAATTCATCACTATGTTACAGCATCTCATTCAGGACAGCCATCGTCCAAATATTTCTAAAGACCAAAAACTATGTAGCCAAGCCACGTGTGACTTAATTGTAATTATTCAATCTGCAATTTTAATCCTTATCACTACCGCAGTGTACATCGTCTTGTCAGCCACCCTGTACCACTCTGTCACTGTCATTAATTACTGTATATGACATTTATTGCCCTAATTGGTCATCCCCCTTGGCCGTGTCTGCCATCACATCAACTGGTCAAGGAAGTGCTATTGTTTCTCTATCTGTCCATTGTTGAGTCGTCGCCTGTCCATTGTTGTCAAAAACTGTATATATGCTCACATCTATATTGTCAAAGAGTCCGGTATTCCGACTGTCTGTGTAGGGATGACCGCGAGCAGGATAATGCTGCTTGTAGGAAATGCCCTGGGGTTGAGCTGGAACTCCGCTCACCTCATTCTTGTATACTTGTTTGGCATGTCTTGTGTAACCAACTAAAGAAGTTTGAATGCAACATATTCCTTCATCTTTGTCAACGTACACTTCATCTTAATCTTTGTCACATGCCACAACATATTCCTTCATCTTTGTCAGCGACACTTCATCTTATTATGAGCTAATTCCCCAGTCCAGCCACAACATATTTCTTCATCTTTGTACCATCTTGTTGAGCAATTCCCCAGTCGACATACCACACGCTACATAGTTTTTGGTCTTTAGAAATATTTGGACGATGGCTGTCCTGAATTAGACGCTATAACAACTATATTGATCTGTGTAACAAGCTCCATCAAGTTCCAAAAGGACTATCAACAGTTTTGGAGTAATGTCGTCATGTGTGATCTGCATGGCAAATCTCAGCAAGAAATATTCAGTTGGTTTATAAGTAAAACTTTGCAAGATGGTGGACAGACAGAAGGATGGGCGGAAGAATGCATCCTACTTTTGGTACCTTACTGGCTGTAACCTAACTGTATGCATCCAACTGGCTGATACCATACCTGTTGAGGCCTAACTTCATATATCCTATTTGTTGTACACAGACCTACATAATTCAGTTTTCTAAGTCATCAACACCACATCTTTCAATAATTGATCAATGGTTACATCTCCAAAGGGAATGTCAAATAAATGGACGGGAGTGCCCATCAGAAGAATGAAACCGGAACTACAGAAAATGTTTCTAGACAACTATAGATTCAAGTTGTCAGTCAGTGAAACATTAGTTATTTCATATTCCATATTCCTAACTGGGCCTCAGAAATAGGTGAAGTTATATACAGTAAATCTAACAGAATTAAACAAATATATTTGTCGGAATGTACAAAGTCTTGAAACTCTCAATATATATTTATGTCAAATAGTTTATATGGTATTCTCAAGTTATTTACCCTACCATGAAGAGGTCCTGTGGACCATGGGTTACTTGCCTATGGTACAGGCACCACAAAATCCTTCACCTTTAATATAATGCCTATGACAAGGATCCCTTGACTATCATGCTTAGGTTTGTGGCACTTCAAAAGACTGCAGCTTGGTCAAAGAGTTTGTCAAAGACATTTGATAGTGAAGATGGTAACATTCATCCTTGAATCACTGAATTTTCATTCGCAATTATGTTACAACATAATATCTATGTGCCCAGAACAGTGTCTAATGAAGAATCTATTTCAATGATATTCTTCACATGGTAAACCTCAAAGGATATATTTCAATTCTGGTAGGATACGTCAAAGCAAATACTTTCTTAAAAGATCAAGTATAGTCGTGCTCCGTTTATCCTAACACTTGTGTTTTTCTTGAACTGCGTGTGTAACCATACTGACAGGTGCTCAGCCATCCAGATATACGGGGGGAAAAAATGCATATAATTTAGCTTTTTGTACGTGAAAATGACCATCCGGTTATAGAATTCGTTTTAAGGAATTTTCATTCGGAAGGCCAGTTTTCCGGATATCTGAGGTTCGGATGAACGGGGCACGACTGTATTAACATATTCTTAGCGAATAAAAATGCAAAGCCACAATATACATGTATATATAAATACATGAGGCTTCAAATATTCAAATTTATGGATTTTTTTACGGTCAAAGGTCAAGAAGACACTTTGGTCATTGCCCATAAAAGCCCATTTCTGGTGTCCATTTCTGATATTGCTGGAATATTGCTAAAAGCGGTAAAAAAGCCCTCACTCACTCAACATGTGCTCACCCCATTCATCCAAACAGTCATGCTATGTGAAAGGTTTCAGTGATCTTGACACTCACCTTCATAATTCCGGACCTTCTTTCTGCGTTTAGTGGGTGTGGGTTTAACATTGGTGTTGTACAGGTTATCGAGCACCTCCTGGTGGTGTCGCAACACTTTGGCCGTCTCATTCCAGTTCTCCTGCTCAGTTTCCCATGTGTCGCATCTACAACAGACAGAACAGTTTTACTTTTACAATCTTTGTAGTAAAAAATCATTGCTACAAAGGAATTCAACATATTGTGTTCTTTCTGACTTAGGGTTAGCTGTTGATAACAAATTGGATGGGTGGGTGAGTGGGTGAGTGAGTGGGTGAGTGAGTGAGTGAGTGGGTGGGTGAGTGAGTGAGTGAGTGAGTGAGTGAGTGAGTGAGTGAGTGAGTGAGTGAGTGAGTGAGTGAGTGAGTGAGTGAGTGAGTGAGTGAGTGAGTGAGTGAGTGAGTGTAAACAACTAGAATAAAATTAAAATGTTTGACTTTCATGCCGATACACTTTCCCAATGCAACTCAAAACTATCTACTTTTGCTCCTCCTTCAACTCACTTGGATATAAATGAAATCAAATTCATTACAACAAACATAAACCTGCCTTCATCAATCTGGTATTTGATTAGAAATCCTACCTACCATGGGAAAGCCAACTAGGAAACAGGGGAGTTATCTTGATCAAAATTAGAACATTTTTACTGTGTCTATTATTTCTTAAATTTTGAAGAAAAATAAAATTTGGAGCTCTAGAAAATCCCCGTAGATGACTAACTAATGAGAATGGGAGTTATGTCCCCTTGAAAGTGGGTGTCATGATTATGCAACATAAGAAATTTTATAATCATCTTGATGATTGTAAATCTGAGCTAGAATGAGCACTGTTGTCATGGTCATAGCACATGCAGATCAGTTTCTGCCAACAGCAAATGTCACTGACAATATTAACTCAATACTTTATGAGCAAGGCCAAAGCAACCCACATATATCCACAGCAGGAACTGCCCACACACCTGATAATGCCAGATGTCGACAAGAATCAGACACTCCTCTGCATATTAGAAACTCAATATTCCCGATTTCGTAACATGTTGAAAGCCCATAGTCGTGTCATAAACAATTGACAAATTTACCTGAAACATTTTCTTGCTTGAAAAGTTGTAACATATAACTTAGGACAAGCCAAGAATTCTTCTTGCCTTCATGCACAATCAGATGGTTAGTGGTTCTAACCCCTGGCCTTGTAACGCCAAATGACACTAAGAGATGGTACTTGTTGTTGCCTCTGCTCAGTAAGGGGATAACACCTGGATTGGTCAGCTCGGAGTCAATATACTGTATCTGAGTGCAGGGCTGGAAATAACTTTAAAATTGCTAGTGTACTCCGGTACAGTGGCACATGTAAAATCACTTGCCCTGATCATTTTTCCACTATACCGGCCGATTTTCCCGTTGATTTTTTAAATAAACAACATAATTAACATTGGAAAGTCAACTGGACACTGGTACAGCGTGATATACAAATTTGCTTGCCCGACAGAAAAAAACACTGGACTCGGGCGTCGGGCAATGCGTTATTTCCACCCCTGGAGTGGGGTGTCTAAGTCAAACTGCAGCATGGTATCTCAGTGGGCTAGCACCATAAAACCTGAGCATTAGCAGAAGTAGGTATCTGTGCATGCAGACACACACACTGACACAGACACAGACTGAAACACAGACACAGAGACACACTTTCATTCATGTACATTGCTATACCAGCACAAAAATCTCTTAAGGCATGCTAACTCCTGTCTGGTTTAAATGAGCAACACTTTGTTTTTGTCAATAATTTAAGCTCCCAGGCTCATATAATGCTGAAAAAGACATTATTTTGTTTAGGGATTTACATGGAGTCCTGTATTTGAGGGTCCCTGGGATTCATAATCTTAATTTTCAGGGGTCCTGGACAATGAAATGGGATCCCAGACACTTAAATATTATTATTAATACTGTTATTGTATTGTGTATCATGATCATCACATTGTTACAGTAATTGCAAATAATACTATACAATTACTACTATTAAACTGCAAATGATACTATAACCAATTAGTAGCAAACTCAGTGATAACTTATTGTCAGTTGATTGGAATTTTTACAAAAAAGTATTTGGACTTTTTCTGCGTCCCTGTGGACGCACTAATAAATTTTGTTGCATCCATTGTCAATTTTTATGTGTATAGGACACAGGAATTCACGTCCTGTAAATCCCTGTTGTTGGTTTTTTAACACTACCCTCAACAACAGCAGCATGTGTTGGTCCAATGACTGATATCATGAGCAACAATCAATGGTATTGGGCAGGGGTGGAAATAACCCATTGCCCGACGCCCGAGTCCAGTGTTTTTTTCTGTCAGGCAAGCAAATTTGTTTATCACACTGTACCAGTGTCCAGTTGATATTCCAATGTTAATTATGTTGTTTATTTAAAAAATCAACAAGAAAACGGCCGGTATAGTGGAAAAATGATCAGGGCAGGTGATTTTACATGTGCCACTGTACCGGAGTACACTAGCAATTTTAAAGTTATTTCCACCCCTGTTGGGGAATGCTAGCACCTAACCAACCAAGTCATTGAGTCTGACTACTAGTGTCAACAAGTCACCAAGATGTTGCCGTCGACTGGCATCTCCACACATTTGTCAATATTCCAGCAACCAGGTTCACCCATGTGTAGAATCAAACCCAGGTCTTTAGCATAACGTCCCATGAAGTGCTCTGGGTTAGAATTGGTCTTCAGCAACCCATGCTTGTTGTAAGAGGCGACTAACGGGATTGGGTGGTCAGGCTTGCTGACTGGGTTGACACATATCGTTGTATCCCAATTGCGTAGATTGATGCTCATGCTGTTCATCACTGGATTGTCTGCTCCAGTCTTGATTATTTACAGACTGCCCCCATATAACTGGAATACTGCTGAGTACGGCCATAAAAAAACATCCAACCAACCAAATTTGGCATAACAAGCATCTGCATCGAACCCTTGTGCTACCCCAAATACCTACACACTGTAACATCCTGAATAAACACGCATCAGAAGCTGTTCAACCCCATCTTCCCAGAACTTCGCACATATGTTCTTCTACCCTGACAATCCTCTACTGTTCCCGTGAGCATATGATCATGAGGTTGAAATTGAATTATGACTGCTTTGAGCTTTCTTTTTGAAGGAAATAATTATATTTGGAGTCTTTCATTTCTGCTTCCACCAAGTGAGACTGGCCCCTCTCCCTGACATTCACCAAGCAATGTCTCCTTTATCTCGACATTATCCTGGCAACTCATACTAGTAATGTCATTTCTCAACACAGGGGCACACAACATCATCAACATCTCGCTAAAGGTTACCCATAGACGCTGTAAACTGGTCAGATGAGCCTTTCAATGTGTTGAAGAAAAATATTTTCTATTTTCCTTTGCGTTAGATCTTGACTAGGATTGCAGAATTTTCTATGTTTCATAAAAATGATTCTGGGATTTTTTCAAAGGCAAATGATAAAATATTGTCGAGAGATTTCAGGTAGCAATCAGTCCAAATCCTGGAATCTGAACCTGTCTGAACCTATCTGAGCTCCTGCAAATTAGGTCCACCTTCTCCAAGCTCAATAATTTCACCTTCACAAAGGCTGAAGTGAAACTTGGAGATAACACATTGCAACAATTGTCAAAGAGAACCAGTCTTCCTTTATCAATATCTGGGAACTGTACAGCATCCAACTCTGTTCTGCTGTGTCTAAAAATGACTATTATACAGACACATCAGAGTGTAGACAAATTAAAAACTTTACTACTTTAGCCACAAGTCCAAAGCCTCGATTAAGTAAATAATTTTTGCAACTGAGCAAAATCAGTACCATGCTGATAAAGATAGAGAGCATGTAATGATTTAATAACATCAAGGAATATATGTACCGTATATTACTGTCTACAAGCCGAATTTTGAGGATAAAAAAAGCAGTCTGTAGAAGGGGGTCGGCTTATCTATGAGTTACGCTTTCGTCAAACTTTTTTCCAGGGGTAAGCAAACAACATCGTATCACTTCGCGTGAACAAACAACAGAAGACAACTTTGTCAGTACAAACGTCAAATTTGCAATTAAACATCGCTAGACAAGATTATTACCTTTTAAGTTCTAAGTTGTTTTTGCTGCGCATTGTATTATTTGCAGGGATTAAGATTACCGTGTGTATTTGAGCCGGAAATAGCAATCAGCTGTGCACACATTTCCCGGCGATCGAGTCAAACATGCACAATAATATAACGGGATGAATTCTGACGCTGTCATCAGTAAAATATAATACAGAATACTATTGTTTAACCTAAAGAAATATATCCTAGCATTGTGTAATTTTAATTACAGTTTTTGCTTTATAAATGTAAAACATATATAATTAACAGGTTATACGGACCCTCATGAACGTGGTAAGTGGAAGTTGTATGCACATGGGGTAAAATAAGCAAGCCATTTAAATTCACACATTTTTAACGATGTTACTGTAAACAAGCAGTCCATGGAAAACGAGGGGTAATCAGTTCGTGATTGTTGAATGGGGTAAATGACATGTGATCGTCCAGCTACAATAAGTATGATATTTAGCGAAACAAAGTATATTATCCATTTTCTGTCAACTACACTTCATTTCGATGTGTGAGTAGATGCAATATGATTGTGAATTCTTTGAATAATGTGGACCAAAGTTAGAATTATTGGTAACTGCCAGTTGTCTGTGGTCTGTGTTTGCCAGGATTAAGACCCCATCGCAGGAGATCGGCTTATGTATGAAACATACCATTTTGACAGATTTTAAGGGTCAAGTTTGGGGGCGGCTTATCCAGGAGGTCAGCTTATAGACAGTAATATACGGTACATATGAAGCTTCAAATAACTCAGGTCTTTAGGCATCATGATGAAACAACTGACACCATGTGGACCAGGTACAGCTACCCAGCGGGGATTCTTGGTGAAGATATGTCACAATCCATCATGTTTACAGAACATGCTTAATGGATCAATATGTCTAACACTGTGATCTCAAGTCTGCCGACCTCAGCGGTTTAGATTGATGCTCGTGATATCAATCACTGATTTATCTGATCTTGAATTGATTATTTACAGATTACCATTATATGACTGTAATAT